TCAAACTCAGAAATTGTTAAGGTAAATTCAATGCCTTGACATGACGATTTTGACATTGAGCACCCAGATACCTAATATTCTTTCATGAATATGATGCAGGTAAATCTGCTGGCATCAAGTGACCAAGACAAAGGGTACTCGTACACTCAGCATTCTCATCCATTATTTAGTAGCGGTGGCTGATCTTTCTGCAGTCATATTACATGCTACATATAGTTCTTATGGACTCGGTTGAGAATGATTCTGATCTAGTTCATGGCCTATTAGAAGTAGAAGGCACTCCGTTCGGGGCTTCGGTTGTCGGCTCCCTGTCATCAGGTCACCAACTTTCTTGACTTTCCGGCACTGGGCAGGCGTCAGCCCCTAGTGAAGTCAATACCAGAGACAAGCTGTTTGGCAGACAAAACCAACTGAAGAAGGTACTTAAATGCTTTCGGCATGTTCAGTACATACCTGTAGTCTTTGTAGATGCACTGTAGGCTAGATAGTTATTAACTAAATGAAATTTAATCCGGAGTGCAACAGAATCAGAATGTAGGTTGCTTCAACTTGTCTGTAACTCTATTTGAGCAACCTGGTCTATGTCGTAACATTTGTACGACGTATAGTGCCTGATTTAGAAACATTACTGAAGTGTCTGCTTCTCTGATGTTCTCTCACGTTCTCTCATCTTGTACATATACCAAATATTGTAAAGACTAGCATATTGGGCTGTTGATGATGGTTTCAGTTCTGTACCCACGGGGCATTTTGGATATCATATATTTTGGTGAACATCGTTTATTAGTTAGAGCGCCCTTTTTCTTGTTAATACACATAGGATTTCATGGGAACTTCCACAAGACATTAGGATTTCATGGGAACTTCCACAAGACATCTAAGGTTAGAGCATTTTAGTTATGTATGCGTTGAATTAGCAAAATAAAGTATAGTCTGCCTAACCCGTCCGAACTTGGGTAGGTTGAACTGGGAATATATTCATTAATTGGTTAACTTAGATAGGCCAAATAAACCTATGAAATTTTTTGTAGAGGAAAAATAGAAAAAAGATGTATCTTTGTGTGGCAGCTTTCACACTGAGTAACTCAACCTGCGAAATGCGAATATGACGCTCTTTTATTTTATAATATTGTCAACTATACTTATTTACATTGTGATTTATAAATTGAGGTAGTGAAGAAGTGTGACCTACAAAGAAGAAATTCTAGAAAATTATAAATAAAACTGAATTCTCTTTATCCTTAAACGTACACCCCTAAAAGGGAAAAAGAAGAGAAGAATTCGTCTTAGAACAAAGGCTAAATGGCTCAAGCATAACACCACTGAATCAGTAATATGTAGAGTATCCAGATGCTTCTGTTACTTTGTATTTAAAGGCATTAGTTTACTGTAAACACAAAATTAGTCGATGATTTTACTTAAATAAAGATTGGTCTGTACGTTAATAAAAAAAAAAAAAATCACAGTAGATTGGAAGTCTTCCTAGACTACCACTTAAGCGCTAAAATTTCTAATAACGAAAATATTGGATCTTACACTTCCTTTCCTCTTTTGGGACGTGAAGACAAAAAAAAATGCAAGCTCATATTCTTGTAAAGACAAAATGCCACCAAATCTTGGTGCTGCTACAGAAAGAAATGAAGATAACTGAAGAGGCAATGGACGTGCGTTTTCTTGCAGAAAATCAGTGTGTATTGGCCAAAGCACAGCTGTCTGTGACCACATTCCCTTCATTGGTGCCTGTGCTCAATTTGTTTGTTCTAGTTTGAATTTCAAAGAACCAAACCGTCTAACATATGGTTTGTAATTTATTAAAAATTTCATGTACTCTGCACCTTTAGCTGTGTCATATAAACACATTCTAGTGGTTATATAGTGGATTGACTCGCATAGCATTTGATTTCTCAGAAGGAGCTAAGCAGATAAAAATTCAAGATTTAAAATACAAATAAGTGTTTGGATTTTATTAATTAAAATCCGCCACGGAGACTCCCTTCTATGAGGGGTGTCATCCTGACTGTTTCGACTAAAAATTTTACTATAAATATGCAAAAAATAAATAAATCAAAAACAATATGCACACATACAATAGGTCAACATTGCTTTAAAATAATGGTAAATAAAAATTAACTTAGTACACGAAGAAAAGTCTCGCAATCTCCACAAGTCCAATCAAAACCAAATACAAGTTGAGTTGTAATACTCCCTCCGGTCCATAATAAGTGACCAATTTGCTTTGAGCACACTCATTAAGAAAATACTAAATTCTAGACGAAAATAGTTAGTGTGATTAAACTACCCGTCATTAAATGTTGCACCATAGTTATAGTAGCACTTACTTCTCTTCTCAAATGTGAGGAGTAAATGACTTTTTAGCAATACGAACGTAAGGGTAATTTTGGAAAAACAAATTAAATTTTTTCTTGATTATATAAATGGATATTTATTTTGGACCAAAATAAAAAAGCAAATTGGTTATTTATTGTGGACCGGAGTAATAAACTAACACCGTTTGCGCTAGATTACGCCATTGATGGCACGTGTTTCCCATTTTACTTATATGAGCCATTGTCAAGGAATATAAAACAGAAAAATAAATTAAGATAAAAACAAAACAGTCCGAGACTCCTCTCTTGTAACGGGGCTACAAATACCCATGTTGTGTCTTTCTACTATTATATTGCTTAAAGTTCTGAGCTTCCTAAGAAACATTTCTTCTCTGCCAAATTCTGTACGAGAAGTGAAGAGAGTTGAAAGACAAAATGAAGAGGATTTTCGTAGCTTTTATGTTGGTGTTTGCTCTTCTTTTGACATCCTCCTTTCTTGAAACCGCAACGGCCAAATCAGGTAAATTAGCTTAACATTGGTGGCATTCATTCTAGCAAAACTGCTCAATAGAAAAGAGCATCCAATGCATCTATGTACGCAGTCCAAATAAGTCGACGTATGTTCATTTTATTTTTACATAATGTTGTATTTTTGTAAGATGTTGTTTGCAGGATTTCAACTATGATCTTCTCGTCACAGGATAATAACCCTTGTCGTTGCGCTAAAACTCTTTCTCTACCAAAACATCTAACTGACTGCATGAAATTTACAAGGATTTAAATTATATACATTGTATAAATAATTTTTATACTCAACTAACTCAAGTGCATTTAACCTGTCGCTTCAGCAGGTAAACTGTCTTATTTTTCGAGTTACTAATCTTACTTTTATAGATAATTGCATGTAATTATCTTTCAAGTGACCTAATAGTGTAAAATACTTTTATACGGTCAGTTTATAGAAGTTAAACTCAATTTACTATGGACATGGTGCAGTGTACTGTGCCCGCAAATGCAAGGCTCGGTGTTCCAAGGCAGGAGTGAAGGATCGATGTGTGAAATACTGCGAGTTGTGCTGTGCAAAGTGCAAATGTGTTCCTACTGGGACTTATGGCAACAAGCATCAGTGCCCTTGTTATAGGGACATGAAAAACTTTAAGGGAAAGCCTAAATGTCCTTAAAAATAAAACCAGATTTCTTCTCCTGCTTGTGTACCTAAAAGTATTTTTACTAGTATTTAGTTCGAGTAACAAGACTTTTTTGTGTTTGTTAAACTTCCTGAATAAATGAGCTCCTCTAGGACCTGTTAATGTTTGTGACCTCTATTAATGTTACCAAATCTTGTGTGGGAATTGAGAAATTATAATATTAAATCCTGCCATTTTTATTAAATGCTTGCTACTGATTAATTAGACTCCATAGAAAAGAGAACATGGAGAATTAAAAACACTATCTAGAAAGCCCCACGAATGACTTCAAGCAAAAATGTCAAAACAAGATTCAGTTACGCGGTTAAAATATGCTATAACATGTATCATCTTCTTGATATTCTATTAAATAGGTTAATGGAAAGATGATTGCTAAGATTTAGGCTTTAAACATCCTAGATACCAGCATTATACCATTTAATCCAATTAAATGGTAAAGGCCTGTCCAGACATCTAAGTGTGGTTAATTTCACATATGGTCACCGAATTTTTCCCACCATAACAATAAAGCCAATACTATTTTTGCAACACCCGACATACTCCTCTGGAAAGGAGAAAAGGGAAAGAAAAGAAAAATTTGAAACGTATTTATTCTCCAATTATAAAAGAGTATGTACAGTGTATCCTGAAAATCTTAGCACTAGTTCAAAGCTCTAAAATACTTTGTACATCAAATAACATATTTTACATGCTTATCAACAGTGTCCAGACAGGCATTGTAAATAAAAGTCAGACAATAATAGGTCTGTCTGAGTGTTCCATCAAATACTTACACAACCGCGTACCATTTGCATAAACATATTTCACCCAATACATTGATCTACGCATTTATAAATGTCAAGCAAGCAAATACGTCTCACGGATTCGGCCAGAGTCAAACAAGAGAAGAGCGCTCCATCTACTTGCTTATTGATACCTCTCAGCCTTTTTGGCTAAAAACAGGTGTCAATCAACTTGCTTATTGCTGGAACTTTTGCTCACTTGGCAAGGACAACAGTTCAGTAAGCTCCACACGATATTCTAGCCCTCTAAGGTAGTGCCCAAGCAGCATGCACCTGATGAAATTATCAAGAAAAAAAAAGAAGACAAAGTTACTGTCTTTAAATACCAAATAGTAAAATTCAGCATTCAGCTCAAAGGCAGAAATCCAGGGCTTTTCAGAATATTGTGAAATACTAATAATATTTTGATATCATGAAGCAACACAGCAGCACATATAGACAGTTAACAGACGGGCCAGTACATGAGTAACAGACGCCAACATTACATGATCATACGAGCACATACTGATAGTTAACGAACTGAACATTAGAAGAGTAACAGAAAGCCCAAGATTGACAGGCAAACACCTGATCAAAGCAGCAAGAGCAAGACTGAAAGAGAATGGGAAAACAGAACAGATGTTGCAGCTACACTAATACAATTGGAGCAAGCAAGAGCATCTGATTCCAACTTGTACATGAAACTTCTTTATTTTAACCCTTACAGGATTCCCCCAAGTACGACACAGTAAGTGCAAACTGGCTATAATTGTATCCAGAAACTACTCGTCGTTTTCAAGAACCAATATACCTACATATCTATAAACTTAAGTTCCTAATTTGTTCGTATAGAAGTCTAGTCAAATTAAAGACAAATTTCTCAAGACCCCAGTCGTACAACTAGAAAACTAATATATTTGCAAATATAAGATCATTAAGAAAGTATTCTCACCAAAACAACAGACGAGCCAAATAATCTCGAGTCAATGATATCTGAGGCTGGAAGTGAATAGATGTGTTCTCGACAAGATCGATGGAATCTTCAGCTCCAACATTTACAGTTCCCGCAGACGTATTATCTGATAAATCAGAGGCCTTAGAATGCATTCTAGGGGATAGAGTTGCGAGTAGTCCATGGACTACTGAATGGATGGTCTCCTTTACTTCCAAGGATGTTGGTTCTGATAGCTCAGCAACCTGCTCGCATTGATGTGGCAGTAAGCAAAGCAAAGACAATGGGAAGACAATAAGATAGGAATATAGGAAGATAAAAGTTTCCCAACTTCCAATTCTGAAAGGAATGAAAAGCTAGAGAACATATTAAGACAGCAAAAATTATAGAGTAAGTCAAGTTTACACACAACTACTACTAACGGGATAACAAGCTTCAAGGTTGACTTGGTAGCAAAATCAATTAACACCATAGGAAAGAAAATCCTCCCTACCCCCAATAATGAAACTATGCAAAAGAAAAGGAGGGAGAGAAACGCCCCTAGGGCTTTAGACCAGTGATAAAAGTGCATTGTGTGATGTGTGGGTTAGCTGACGGGTCGGAACCCTAACGCAGAAAAAAAAAACCTGACTTTTAAGTGGAAAAGGTAGAGGGGCAGGCCCATTATGCACCAAGTTTCGAACCATGAGGCACTGTTCCTCGGGGATTTCTTGGATATCCAAAAAAAGGAGAGAAGCATCTATTTCTATTCTTGGTATGAATAAAAGAGGTGTGCAAGTCTTTGTTCTTTCTCTGAATAGAAAAGAAGAATTTGAATAGGTGTTATTTCACTTTATTACCAAACGTATATTCTCTACTTTGTCCGTAATTCTATGGTCTCTTTTGGAGAAAGAGAAAGTTCAACCTAAAAGGCCCTCTCTCACTATGAAACTCAAGGAAAAGGAAAGTTGACATGTTATACAGAAAGAGAGCCATTTACCTTCTCCGGCTGCAATGATCTTAAGTAGTCCAACAACTCATTCTTTTCCTCACCCACAAATTGTTGCATCTGAAGAGCTGCACTTTTCCTCTTAACTTCATGGAGTTCCTTCCATACACAAAAACAACAGACAGGTCAATTTAATGTTCAAACAACATGAAGCAAGAAATACAAAAGTAACTAGAAAGCAAATCCGGCAGTTGAGTCGACATGGCACATAGTTCGTCTCAAAACATCCTATCAGCTACAACATTTAGTAACCCTTCCCCCTCCGCTAATGCCAAATTAAAACCTCAACAAAGGTGAATTGGTATTGGGGAAGCTGTAGAACTGTAGTAGGCAAGTCAGCAGTACAAATGAATTATTCTTCTCACTTGTACTTTATCAGTATCACAAACCATATTCATACAAGCTAATAATCAAATACTCTGAAGATGGGAAATCCAGACCACCCAACAAGTAAAAAACAAAAATTACAAAAGAGTATCAAAATGCTAATTCCCCTTTTTCTTTAAGATGCCAGGTGAGACTCTAGGTCCAATATGTTATATAGAAAAAAGTCTTGAAATGCTAAGTCCTTTAATAAAAGGTACATCCTACAATTAAAGGGGACTAAATCATTAATATAAGGTGTATACACTGCAGTGCTGATTCTACCTTTTGGTAAGATGCTAGGCGAGTCCGTAGGTCTAATATGTATTGCTGAGCTTCAGGGGTCATTTTACCAACGTCTGGAATATCAGGTGAAAGTTCACTCTTTCCTTCTGATGTTGGTCGGTTATGTTCCAAGTTTTGGCTCGAAACATTTTCATTCAGCAAGGTCTCATCTCCAACTTTGGAATCAACATGCTTTTGTCTATCAATATTTCTATCATATATTTCAAGGTTCTTTTCAAGACAAAGCCTGTACTCGGCATTTCGTAGTGTATACCTGCAATATTACAATGGAGTGCACTTTATGCTACACCTTCAAATACAAGCAACAACAACAACAACAACAACAACCCCCAGTAAAATCCCACCACCTTCAAATACAAGCATCAAGTAGAATGAGCAACAGAAGCAATTTAAGCTCCTCTTTGCCAGAATTTTGTAAAAATAGTTCATATCTTCGATCTTTCGCTACTCCCCTTCCCATGTCTCAATGAAATTAAAAACATCATACTCCCATTATTCTTTCAGGTTTTGTATTAAAGTCAAGCAGAGAGTGAACACTAAAAACAGTGAGAATTTGATGTAAATGACAGCCATATTTTGAAATATTTCATCCCTTCGCTCATTTCTTTCTGTTCATCTTTTTTCAATTTATAGTGGGTTAGGGATGGAGGAGAATGTTTTACATGGAAAATATCTTCTGAAGAAATGTTTTACCTTGTAAAATCATTTTCTAGACCATTTTCCAATATATAAAAGTTGGTGGCATATGATAATTGTCCAAGGCGTAGAACAAGGTATTCAATAGGCATCCAAGGGGTGTAAATGAGTACAAAAAGCACATAGCTCCTGTACATTACTTTTACGCCTATCTAAGACTCAAGGACCAAAAACTTCTTTCCTCTACGTTTCTTTTGATCTCTAAAACTAAATCCTGCTAAGCATAAGCATGATGAGGTTGTGGGCACGAGGTGATCATGTAAAAAATAAACCATACCCAGTCATCATTGAGGAGATCAAAAGCTTGGAGATTGGTTCCCACAAAGCTTCAATTAGAACTTGAAACTGGTCAGATGGAAGCAAGCCCAACATGCCTGATATAGTTCTTTTCATTGCATCAATGGTTGTGGGCGGTACATCTTTTTGAATAAGGCTGACGTCCAAAGGCTCTATCTCTTGGATCAAATTTGAGAGGACTGATTTCTGGAAAGAAATAAAGAAGCAAAAAGGGAAAAAAAAAGAGCAATCTTTAATCAAGTTCATCATTATGCTAATATTTCCTATGGCACTATTCCAAAGGTTGTTTATTTGTGAATGAATAACTATCACTTGCGCAACATACAAAAGTGACAGCGAGCAAATCATATTTTTAACTCAAGTCTCAATAACGAGAATACTTGTTTTTCTATAGATATAAATATAAATAAAGCCTCAAAGATTTTGCAGTACATCAAGTAATGGACTAAAAGAACATAAATGCAACTCAAATCAATATGTGATATACATGCCAATATGATAATATAAGTATCCTTCCATGTTTTAAGAACAATGTCAAACCTCTGTAGTTAGTGACCTCGAATATTATCAAACATTTTCATTCCCATAGTAAATTACAGGATAGACGATCATACGCATCCCTGAATCAACACAAGGATCAGCTATCGTAAGCATCAATACTACATCATTGGAATGAGTAAAACTCTAAAGCCAAATTATTTTGTCTCTTTACTTAAAAGTTAAAACTCATCTCCCAGACGACCACAGCGTGTCCCAAATTTAAAGACTACAAATGCAACTCTAACAGATATACACGTTCTTTTAAAAAAAATCAATGTGTATATATATAGTATCCAAGTTCGCCAGTCAGTGCCTTATGTGCACAAATCAAAATCTAATTAACATAAATTGGAAATTACTTTCCATATATAGAGACATATAAGGCAAGTTAATTTACGTTTATCAGCAAAACAGTACCCCAAACTACTATGAACTGTAGCATACATATTAAACCAAATTAACAAAAGCAGATTAGAATATGTAAATTAGGTATCACAGCTAACCTTGGATCTAGAATTCTGATTGCTCGCACTGAAACCATCAAAGGAAGATGCTGAAGAAGCAAAAATTGAAGCAGTTCGTAAGGTTGAAGTTTTATTAGGAATTTTGATGGAACGAAAAGTTGGTAGGGATGAAAAAGAGAGGCGCTTGAGAGGAAGAGGAGAAGTGGAGAGGGAGAAGGAGAAGGTTGCCATTGACAACCGCTACTGTCTCCTTCTTCTTCTTCTTCTCTCCCCTCTTTCTGATCCGACCCGGGAAAAGGGACTACACTGTACTTGCACCCTAAGGATCTAAACGTGTGGAGGATCTCTCTTTCGCCAATGGGCCAGAGCCCAGCCCATTGTTTTGGGTTGGAAATATTTTACTGGACTCGTTAGTCGGTACTAATGGGACAAGTGCACATATAGTCATTCTCAGGGATGGTATTTAAATATTAGTCAATATTTATTTTTATCCTGAAATTTTAAACTAAAAATCTTAACTTCATGAAAATTCAATATATTTTTGTCCCAAAAATTTGAATTGAAAAACTGAAATTCAGGACACTAATTAATTCATAAATAGAACCCTTTAGAATAGAGAATACCTGGTGTCATTTCTACGATACTAATCCACAGCTACAATGCCTAGCAACGATAATCCTTGTGTGAGAACTTTTGATATGCATCTATTTGTATATCTTTAATTAATTCAAATATTGTACAGTATTCCCTCAAATATCTAATATCAGTGCATAACATAAAACATCATAATTAAATGATGTAATGGTTGATAGTTTGTTAGATTTGTAAAGATTTACAAGATGATGGATCAAAAATGCACATTTTAAATAATATTGAAGGTTAATGTTGCGGAAGCCAAATGTATAGAGTGTGAATAAGTCACAACTACTATACCAAAAATTATGACAACCACCAAATAATAAATAAGACAATAAAGCAATAATAAAGGGAACACCAGAATTTACGAGGTTCGGCTAATTTTGCCTACTCCTCGGACACAACCAAATATTTTATTCCACTCCAAAAATACAAGTGAAATAATACTAAAGAGAGAAGATACAAATGCCTTAAACAGATGAGAAGGCAAATGAGAGGTGTGTTTCAATCCTAAACATTAGGCCTTCTTTTATAGGGGAAAAATCCCCCCCCAAACTTAACTCCCAACCAATGTGGGACTTTGGCATTTTGCCAAACTTCAACAGTTAAATGTGTTTAGTAAAATATCTCAAGGACTAAAATTATATCGATATCTATGGGAGTAAAAGCTCAAATTTCCCTTAATGGTATCCAAGCAATATACAAATTGACAAAAATCATAAAAGAGATAAGGTATTCTATTTCAACTCGATCTTTTTCTTATATAATCATTCTATGGAAAAACTGGTTAAGAAATTTTCTCAGATTAGATGGTGTAGGTTAATGCCATAAAAGTAACGAAAGAGGATTAATCAAATTGTAAGGGTCAAAATTGAAATTTCAAATTCACGTTCCTTTAGGCATAAAGGATTAATATGTCATATTTTAAAACTTGACAGGCCCGATTTGTAATTTCAATACTTCAAAGTTGTGAGTGAGAGGGTATTTGGCTAAGCTTATAAGCTGATCAAACTGGCTTATAAACACTTTTTGGCTTATCTATGCGTTTGGTAAAATTAAAAGTATAAGCCAAAAATAAGTCAAAAACCATAAATTGGTCTCCCTCAACTTATCAAATTTCAGCGCACTTTAAGTTTGACCAAAATATTTACTATTCTATCCATAAAATACTTCTTTTTAATACAAAACTCTTCGTATACCTAGTTGTTTAGCTGCATATTATTAATTTCAACACTTTTATCCAAACACATAACTGCTTATTTTTTTAAATCAGTTTCAGCACTTAAAAGTATTTTTCAGCACCTAATGTTTATCAGCTACTCTAAATCGGCTAAGCCAAAGTCTCAAGCGAGTTCATTAACTGAAATGTGAATCCTAAGTTCTTTTAGACCCAAGTGTAACTATGCTCACAAGTTAAGGACTTAAAGGTAATTGTACAACAAGGAAGTTCCACCTGGCCATGCTTCATTGGCCTCCTGAAATTTAGATTTCTGACAATGAGTTTCTTGTAGCATGGCTCCTAATAACAAATGAATAATCAGCATGTCCCTTACCTTATTTTATGTTTCAAAATTAATTGCTATGAGTTGGCAAACCATATTAGACAGTTGACCAAACCTAAAGGATTTTCTTTTTATAAATTCCATAAATTTCTCATTGAATTCCTGTCTCAGGTCAATAAGCAGGCCAGAGACAGAAGAATTTTGAAACTCATTTTGTTTTTTTCGAGTCTTTAGAAAGCAATCATTATAGGCAATTAAAACCAGAAAAGCCTTAAAAATATAGAGAAAAGGACTGATGAACTTCTACTATTTAAAGGAAAACTGATATTAAAAAAAAGGCCTAAAAGTATGGCAAAAGTATCTAATTAGGATAAGCATATTCAAATTATATTTTACTGGTATACACCAGAGTTCAATAATGCAACAGAAAAATATGAAATTATCGTGTCACTTTCCATATGGATGGGTCATGCTCTTCAGTTCATTACGAATATATAATAGTCTAAAATATAGTAGAATAATACTCGTCATACGTTAATTAAAAGATTATAAATCTATCTCGTTGAATTACTCTTACCAAATTTTGCCACAATTCTTCTTGTGTTTTCTATATACTTCTTGTGGGGGTTTTAGTTTTAAGTATATTAATAGCCCGTTTGGCCAAGCTGCAAAAATCAGCTTATTTTGAGAAATGTTTTTTTTCAAAAGTGTTTTTCTCAAAAGTACTTTTGGTGAGAAGTAGTTTGTGTTTGGCTAATTAGTTTGAAAAACACTTCTGAGCAGCAATTAGTATTTGGCCAAGCTTTAAAAAACTGCTTCTAAGTGCATTTTTCTCAAAAGTGCTTCTCAAAAAAGTGCTTTTGGAAAGAAGCTATTTTTTTCTGCTTATCCAAAATAGCTTCTGCTTCTCCTCAAAAGCACTTTTTTTCCTTCCAAAAGCTTGGCCAAACACCTCAATTTTTGGCCCAAAAAAGCACTTTTGTTTGGCCAAACAGACAATAAATGCTTAAAAGAGGGTGAATGAGAAATGGAGGGAAATATTTTAAGTTCCCTCCTACCAAAGGGACATTGTCCCATATTGGAAGAGGAAAAGGTTTTTTATGGATATATAAGCAATTGCTCTTCTTCTAGTTCTTAAAGAGTTGAGAAAAAGGCAAGCCTCGCGCCGTCGTCGTTCGCTCGACTTTCGATTAATGATTGATTGATTAGTTTTTTGGACCAAATTTATTTGTTAATAACAAAATATTAACAGAAATGTTATTAAATATCCGTTTTAATAACAAAATATTAATATTAAAATTAAAATCCAATTTTTCGTTTTCTGTTTTGGTAACAGAAAACTAACTACTCTCTTCAATTTTCCCTCTTTATTGCTGAGTAAATAGCCATTTATGTTATGGCATTCATGTTGTGGCCGTTTTGCATAAACAGTCATTCTGAAGAGTTGCACCTCTTCAGATTTCAGCCCAACATTGGTTATAAATACAAGTCCATTCTGCTCAGAATTTCAATACGATTTTCTGAGTTTCTCCTCCTTCTTCTGCATACTTTTAACATCAAACAAAGCAACAGTAAGTGTGATTTGCTACCGAACTTTGTGTTCGCTGAAACACTGGGATTTGAAGTGTCACTACACCAGTGTGTAATTCGTTCTATCCTGGGAGGAAATAATCCACAACCTTGGGTACTAGGAGGGGATTAAATTCCTTAAGGAAATACTATGAATTCAGTGGGCTCGAATTAAATATTTCTATTTATGTTAATTTATATTCTCCAAAATTATTTTACAAATACAACTTTCTAATCGTGTTTTCTTCTTTTTAATTAGCTAGAAGTCATTTCTTAAATTTAAAGACTTCTGATCGTTCTACTTAATTCTAATGTCTTTAATTTATATCCAACAAATAAAGATGGACTAAAATCTTTATGAGAAACTATAGGCACTTACACTAATCAAGGCATGAAGGATTAATATGTCCACCTTTAAAACTTAACAGTATAGTATATAAGGTTATAGTTTATACAGATCAATTGAAGTTTATTCATCGTTCCATTTTTTATGTTTTCTCATTTATTGCTCTAAGTTGGCAAACCATGTTATATTGCCGACCATAAACTAACTAATTTTTTGTCCATGAATTTCCCATTGAATTTCTGTCTCGGGTCAAACAGGCTGCAGACAGCAGAATTTTTAAGAAATGTTTCCTTTTTCTCAAACTCCACTAAAGATATTAATTAGCAGCAATCTATATATCTATATCTCTATATATTCTCTATATATATTAAAATAAGAAAGTTACTATATATAATTGCATTGTGGTTAAGCCAAGTGGCAAGCTAATAAATGCAAATAGTATATGGTAACTTTATTGATAGTTTCTATAGCAATTTTCAAGTGTAACAAAAAGTATATTTTAAAAACAAAAGGCTGGTATGACATGAAATATTTTTTTTAAATGTAAACAAATTATTTCAAAATGGATTTTTTTAATATAATGTAATTTTAAAAATAAATGGATAAGATATTTTTGAATTTTGTAGAGTTTTTAAATTATTATAATAGAAGTCATATCATGGATAATATCAAGAAACCGAAATCTTATGGAATATTTATATAAATATCTGGCCAGATTTATTGTTTACGTTTTATAGCTAATATCCGTAGATGATATACTGGCAACACACGATTATACATATATTATATATGGATTATGTATAAATTATAAAATCTTCAAATTTTTAATTTAAGTGGTAAGACGAACACTTATTTAGATTGATTCTAAAGCCAAAAGAAAAATATGGAAGAATTTCAACTAAAGACTAAAAATATAAATAAAGTTCTTATTTAGACAATTTCTATTTAAACTCATCCTTTTATAGAGAAATAAATTATTATTATTTAAAAAAAAAAAGACATAAAAAATAAGATAAAAGAAAATAAATATAGAAAAAGTATATGAAAAATCTAAAAACCAGAAACAAGAGATGACAACGAATTTCTTCTTCTGTTTCATCTATGTTAAGTATAAAAAATTTGGAAGTTGATATCATCGATTTTAAATATTTTTTTCAACTCAAATACATAGATCATAAGACAAGGATATCTTTGAATATTTTTTTTAATTTACATTGTGTTTCATTTTTAAAAATCACTATTACTAACAAACTGA